TTCGGGAAGAATATCGTGAGACTGTAAAAAAAGCATTTTTCATAAAGGAACAAAAAAAGTAATGCCATGAGAAAAAAAAGTATTTCCATCTCACTCATAGAATTTTGTTTCGCATGAATACATCACAAATGATTAATGTGAATTTTTTGCAAACATTCATCTTTCACTCATGAGTGCGTAGCGGGAACTGCTTATATGTACAAAAACGGAAGAGAGTGAAAATGCTCGACTGATATAAAGTTGGAAGGTTTAGTGACCAAAGACGCATTTTTTGTATAAAAGCTAAAATCTAGGAAGTTCTCAAAACACTCTCTGGACACGCTCTTCATCGATATGATGCAGATCTGGATCAGAAGCTTCATCAATCTGATGCAAATTACTGTTTGAAACTAGGTTCTGAAATTGTCAGTTTATCCAAGCAAAGAAATTTCCCAAAACTGCTGAAAATAAAAATAACCCAGACAGCCTAACAGCCATTAACACTTCCACAAGAAATCCCCAAAAAGAGACACACAAAATTTGTCAAAAGAAAAACGGAGCACGAAAAAACATGAAATTTCACTACATTAAGCACATCACAATTTTTTTCCATTTCTTTTCTTTCTATTTAGCATTGCATTTCAATGACATTTGGGATTGTGGGAAATAAAACAAGAGTAGGGAAGTTATATAAATTGAGTGAGGTGTAAAGAAGTGAGATACATGAAAAGAATTGGAGATAAGGAAATTTTTTTTTCTGTTGTGCGGAGATAAAGTACCTGCCTACATGCCTTGGCACATATTATATCTGACATATTAAACATTACGAATATTCTTATTTTGTAATTTTTATTTTTCGTGCGTTACTGAAACACGAGAAGAAAGTGTTACGTGAGATGATGATGGAATTACTTGGATACATGGAATTGGATATTTGTGATAAAGAAATTAAATTATTTGGAATTTGAGATTAATGAATTTAAGGGAGGTTGATACTTTACATGTGTCAATTAATTGACGATTTATTAAAAATTAGGTGTGTAGGCATATGAGGGATGCGGGGTAGGGAACCAAAAATTAAATAAATTAACAACAAACCTTAAAAATCTTCAACAGCCTACATCTTTGTCATTAAATGCGAGGGAAGGGTGGAAGATGCTTTTGAGTTATGCCTTAAGAACAACACCACACCAACTCCTTGCCGTTAAAAAATCTCAAAGAATTTCATCATAAATCCACAAAATAATCAACATAAGAATTTCCTTTAAACCACAGTCAAGACAACTTACTTTAATATCCAAATTTTTCCATTCTTTAATCTGAAAACCGCCAAAATAAAGGAAAAAAATTCACTTCCTACAACAGACATACTTTCCCCTCTTGTTCTTCTTACCATTCGACCACCTACTGTTCATATCTCATTGTTACTAAAGATAATGAATTCATAATCATGGATATGAAGACAGCTCTGAAAAATGAATAAGAATTGAAAACAAATGATTTTTATTTTTTTTATTAATTTACTTTTTTTTTTACAAGATTGTTATTTTTATTCAATCTTCTTTTTTTTGATATCTTCATTCATTCTTTGTGACAGATTTTTTTTTTTTACTTATAAATAAAAACTCGGCATTTATTTTCCACATAATAATAACTTCTTCATTCATACTTGCTCTATTTTTGTTGCATTGTTTAAATAACTTTTTTTTGTGTGTATTTTTATGACAAATATGGCATTTGTAGTTCTTTTTATTGTGTTAAGCTTATGAATTTAAATTCATGTCTTATTTCCTTCTGTTCATTTACATTTTTTTATCTTTACTTATCTTGAACTTGTTTACAGAAATGGAACAGAAAAGGAAATGAAAATGAGGACTAAGGTAATAACAGGAACATAAGAAGAGAAAGTTGTAGAGTGGATAATGCACAAGAAGAGGACTTAGTGTAGTCAGCGCATTGGCAAGGATTGGTTTAGAAGGAAATGAACTGATATTGTCTGTGGATTAAATGCGATTTAACCATTAGTGACAGTATAAACTATCTGTCCGATTGGCTAGGCTGCAGACCAATTTTGATCTTTAGTTGAATGAAGATGTGGGTTCGAATCTCGTGAAGAACGAACCTTCTTTAACATTCAGAGAGTCTGAAAAAGAGAATCTGAATCAAGATATAATAAACTCTTAATCAATAGACAAGATATTTTTAATCTATAGACAACAGGTCTCATAGGGGCCGTTCACTTATGACGTCCGAGGGGGGGAGGTCAGAAAGAAAAGAACAGTAGAAATTCCAGGAAATCCATTGTTCTTTTTTGAAAAATGACCGTTAATTTCGGACGTCATAAGTGAACGACCCCATAAGAAGTTATCACGAAATAATCATAGTGAAACGAAAGAGAACAATTTTTATTAAAGTTTCATACTAAACTCCTTAAAGTTGTCTAGACTTTCAATACTCAAATTACAATCCGACCACAAAAACTCCAACCTTCATACTCCTTAAAAATGCGCTAAAACAATAAGACAAAAGATGTAAGTGGAAAATGGAAATAAGATGTCAAACACACAGCTGCTACTTGTGCTTAAAATTGTCTTTAATTAACATTCTTTTTCATACTTCCATGTCTGTTAATTTTTTGTTTGTTTGTTTGTAAGCAAGAAGAGAAACAAGAGACCTGTCCAAATCACAAACAAATGAAGAATTTTAAATTAAAATATACAATTCATTCTACATTTTTTAATGACATTTTCAGCTTGCTTTCCATTTATTTATGAGGAAATTAAGTTGTCTTTTCATTTTTCCGGTTTTTCTTCCTTAAAATTCTTTTCCTATAATTACTTTTACTCTAACGCTTTCTCACTTCCCTCAAATAATTTTTTTCTTTTTTTCGGGGGGTGTTGACAAAAAAAATATTATTTTTTTCTTACTTCATCTTTGGTTTTCTTTTTTAAATAGCCTACAAATATAATAATTTTTATGTACATATATCATGCAACTTCCTTTTACTTCTTCTACTTTAACTCTCATGCTTCATGTTGAGTAAGTTATAGATAGTAAGAACAACTATGTCTTATAAGTGTATGTATGCAGATAGGCAGGCAATTGAGCATAGAATGGGATGAAGAAATGAGGCAGCAAATCAAGAACAAGTTTATAGATAGAAGTAACAACAATAATAATAATAAGAATAAGAATGTGAGTATGAGAAGATAAAATTTGTAGGTGTTTGATGCATTTTTTATAACTTTTGTGATTTTTTTTTTCAGTAGAGATAAGGAGAAGGGAGGATATAGAGAAGGATATACTGCATGAGAAATCTCATGATAAAACTTTTCATTCACCTCAAACTTTTTAGTGCTTCTTTAGGAAAGGGAATAGAATTTTTGAATGTAGTTATATGTTTTGGTTCTGTTTGAAGTATTCTTAAGGTATGCAAGTATCAAAGTTGCAATTTAGGTCCATAAAATCAAGAATTTTCTCTTTGCTGCATTTCATTTGAATTTGTAAACCCTTAAAATCTTAACTCTAGTTACAGTTCTTTATATTGTCTTACAAGTTCTTACAAGATCTGAGGTTCGAATTTGATGGGGGGGGGGGGGGGGGGGGGTGGGGTTGTTTTAACATCCAAAACAACCCTATGGATAGATACGTCCCCGAATAGCAAAAGTCGGATAATTAAGACTAAATCTAACACCAGGACGACGAGAATTTCGCACTTAAATCCTTGATTATCCGACTTGTGCTACTCGAGGCCGTTGGCAGATCTTAGTGATGTAATTTGACTTACCCAAAATTATTGAATTCTATTTTTGATGCCATTCAACTGTGAATCATTTTGGAAAGAAGAATCAATATTAAGAAGCTCTGAGGAGCTCTGTTAACCCAAAATAATTTAATCAAAGCTGCATGTACCAAAAAAGTCTGAGGTTACCATCCCTTGTCATGAAATTTCTCATGAAATATTTTAAATCCTCTCCACTCTATGGAAATTTTTCTTCTTCTTTTATGTACTTTTTTTTCATTTTGTTTCAAATAAATGAAGCTAGTAAGGAACTCTGTTAGGAATTCCTCTTTTTCTTCATCTTAATTCTTTACGTTCTTCTATCAAATAGTTTTATTGTGGTTTTTTTTTGTGAGGAATTTTTTTGCTTTGATTTCTTGTAGTTTTCTTTATAAAGTTCTATAGATGTCCATCAGGTTAGAAGAAATTTGCATTCTTATGTACAAAATTAAATGCTCGTCAGTCGAATTAAATTGCAAGAGAAATTCCCACAAAAAGAATCCACTTTAGATTAATGAATAAGTTTTAACGATAGCATATATAAAGTATCTCATTTAGAAACGATTTTTGTCCTCTCTTATATCTCATATTATTCCATAATCATCAATTTATATTTTACAAATTTAATTATGTACAGATAATTTTTAGTTGACTATTTATGTGTCTGCATGTGTAAATTTTGTGTGTGGGATGTAATTACTCATTTCTGATGTGTTTATTGATGCGGTTACAATTTTATTTTTGTCCTTAATTTCAATATAATTTCGATATGAGTGGAACGAGATTCTTGTATGTGAACATTGTTAAATTGTGGTCAATGGCTTTACATAATTTGTGCAAAGAGACAAAATTAATTATTTAAAAATTTAAAATAATTTTCATTAAAAATTCAAATTTTCGGTCATAAATTTCAACAGATTAAAAATAATAAGCAACACAGGAGATCATGTTAAGCCTTTGAGTTTTGAGCAGCTTAATATGAACTTTTTGGGACTGAAACAATTCCAGCTCATTTCAAAATTTTGATCTGACTGCCATTTTTTTGATATTATTCTAGGAATCCTGCTCATGCTCAAAAGTTGTTCAGTCATGGCAGCAAACTTAAAATCCATAATTCTACAAAAGTAGTTAAGCTCCAACAAACAATTCCGCGAATTCCTAAAGCCAAAACCACAAAACTTACAAACTTCACATTCAAGAATCTCAGAATTCCATAAATTTTTCATTTAATCGTTAATATTTAACAAGAGCTACGTATCTTTAATGATATGCATAAAGTATTTACGAAAACCATAATTGTGGCACTTATTTCACTTAACATACGTCGATTTATTTTGTTGGCTGTGAACGAGAAAGCAAAATATTGAACAACAATAAAATTTAATGACTATAAATCAAATCTGTTTATTCTACACCATCCAACTCGTTCCTCCTCTTACCTTTTGATATAATTCCATATTCGTTTGGTGGCGAGTCGGTGAATGAAAAGCTTCCGATAGCCAATGTTCCTTTTCGTTCTATTTGGATGCTATTTGGTCCATTGCGTTCACGTTCATTATGAATATTGCTTTCGGGTCGTGCAGGAAATAAAATCTCAGGCTGACTAACTTTCGTTGTCGTATCATTGACACGAGCGACTGTAAAACATTTCAATATAGTAGCAATATATGTTTTCATTCAAAATAGCATGAAATGGATGGGTGAGAGAAAGAGAGTGAGGAAAAAATTTGCATCATTAATTTAGTTGTTCTACATGAAATACATCGAAAACGAAATTTGGATCTGCTGTTGTGGAGTTGACGTATCTGCTTTTTGTGAATTACTCATATTGTCTATAAAGGTGACTGTCAAATGATTCATATTGTAAAATAGTAAAAGAACTTTGGATTTACTCGACATCAACCATATAACAGCAATTGACATGATGTGTCGCCCGAGTCTAATAAATTTACAGCAGACAGCACTTGAATCATCAATAAAAAATGCGTCACAAGCATTAAAATCCAACCTCCTTTTCATACAACTTCCTCTCATGCATAGATGAATGAATGCATGGATAAACGAATGTTACATGCATCCTAGATGCAAACAAAAAAAAGAACTATCTCCACTTTATGTTGTATTTTTTGTACAGCAGCTGAATTTAAATTTAAATTTCATTTTAAAGATGTGAAAAGAATTCAATTTATAAAATTTAATCAAAACAAAGTTACAGCACAGATTGTTGTGAGATGAGCGAGCAAACTGAGTGTGAGTCGAGGTTGGATTGAAATTTATTTCATTTTATTTTTATTGAGCTTTTGTTATGAAATATTCATCCAATTCGAAGTGTGATATAAAGGTATGGAAAAGGAATCAAAGTCATGAATAAATGCAAAAAATTCTTTCTCTCTCTATTGATTTCCATTTCTTGCTTCTCGATATCGATGCTATAAAAATTTAATCACATTTGACTGTACTTACTTTCCTTTGGCTCAGCTATTGTGACCTGTTTTGATGGCGTCGCTGGCAGTGGAATTTCTGTGAAGAAATATTGAAATTAAATTATAATGAAATTGAGATTTATTTATTGGATTTTGAGTGATTTTTTTTTATATTATTCCTAAAATCAATTGGAATTAAGGGTGGCAAAACTGAAGAATTGAATATTTTATGGACTTTTTGAATTCAAACTTTTATTTTTTCCTAATTTTCGAAACTTTCGAACTTCTGGATATGAAACTTCTAGTTTTGTATGGCAGACTGACAAAAAAAAACATTTTCACAAGTTTTCTTGGAAACTGAAACCGACGAAACCCTTGAATTGTTCGTATCAGTTTAGAAGGGTTTCCAGTGAGAATCAAACTTAAGATTTAGGAGAACCTAACATGTTGATCAATAAAGTCTCATCAATGATTCAGCTGATTAGCCTACTTATGGCTCCATCCTACTCTAACACTAGATCCATCTTAAAACTCGAATTTTTCATCAACTCACCATAAACTCTTATCGATCCCTCAGTCTCGCCAAGCGAATTTTTCGATATGCATCGATAGTTTCCAAAATCACCAGCAGATAAATTCTTAATCGTCAATTTCATGTGAGCTCTGATGACAAAATTTTTGTTTACATGAAAATTAATTAAAAGAGATTTAATTGGACATTCGAATGGGATAAAAAGGAATGTCTATTTTCACATGCTATACATACCGATATGAATTTTCATTGTAGTCGATGATGTATTTTTTACTAGGTAAGACCATAACTATTGTGGAGTAATAAATAACATAAAATTTTACATGAATGTTAATTGATGACATAAATTTTTTTTATATTTAACACATACCTTGATTATAAACCCAGTAGATGATGGCTCTGAAATTTATGAACATTTTCTCGTTAATATCGTCAACATCACACAAGCCACAAAACTAAAATTCATCCTTTTTTTCATATCATTTGATGTCGAAGCATAAAATAGCAATTTTATGTCTTATATAACCGAAAAAAAATGAGTAACAATAAGTTATGATATGGAAATGACAACAGCGTAGTTTTTATTGAAATTTACGGCTGATGTGAAAATTGAGTTTATTTTCTTGCGGTGCTATTTTGTGCATTTTTGCAGTCACGTTCAATTTTGGTTTAATTATGAAGTTTATTGGATTGAACTTAAAAGTGCTTTGGAAATATTTTTTTGTACAGCTTCATCTCCCCTTATTCAAGCCACTGATCAAAATTTCAGTTCTACATAAGATTACATGTCGTTCATAAATACCGTCACAGTATGAAGGAGAATAAAAAGCTTTAAAACAATAGGAACAATAGAATTTATTGAAATTCGGCAGTTATTTTAGGACGTCATTTATAAACGATTCCTCGGGACTGCAAACTAAGTTTTTAAGTGAGAAAACTATCCCAACTTTACTTCGAGAAATCATATTAAAATGTAGTCACATCCAAAAGCCCAAACCATGCTTCCAAAAGCACTCACATCACGAAGATGTAATTCCAAAGATATGAAAAAAAAGATGAAAGTAAATGAGCTGTTCATTACCTCGGATGTGCCTCAGTATGGCAATCAATTGTAACATCTGTGCCACTAGGCGCACCAACAAGTTGATTGGGAACTATAAAAACACAATATTTATATTATATAGATACACATATAAAAAAGAAGAAGAAGAAAAAAAATGACATCGTAAAAAAAATTGGCACCAAAATCGGTCCCGTAATGAAAAGACTATCAACTTACCCCAAATCATTGGTGAAACTTTATTTGTTATATGCATATGTGTTTATTTTATTCCATAAATAATGTGAGGGCGATAGCACATTAGATGATAATTCCATAAGGCATATAAGTATATGTTGGTTGTGGCATACGAAAGAGAGAGAGTAAACATGTGAGGAAAGCATTAAAATTTTAGAAAGTAAGATAAAATATTAAAAAGACTATTTCATACATGTATTTTGGCATAAGAAAGTGCCAAGTAAAATAATAATATTAAATACACAAGATATTATAGATGGAGGTATTAAAAACTTACATTCAACATCTAGTATGATCCTCTTCGATACCGAGGGTGGTATACCATTCTTAAATTATAAAACACAAAGAAGAAAATACATGAAATTAATTTTTAATGGCATTATTTTCGATGTTTCATAGCGGGGATGAAAATGAAAAACTAATTGCGAATAAGAAATGAGTGTTAATTACCGTTGCTATACAGAGATAAGCTCCCATCTGTGAATGACATTCGATGTTGAAAGGCATAAAATGAAAATTTATGTTAATCGCTAAATTTATTTTATTTTGAAAATTAGAGATGATATCTGCTACACCCTCTTCTGTATGCTTTGTTATTTCGTGTCTCGTTCCTTGTACAGATTGTGAATTAAGTTTTTGATGTTGTTTAGGATTATAAATGCACAAAGGAAGTCTTGATTACTTCTTGAATTAATAAACATGTAGAAAATAAATTGGTTTTTGCGATTTTATTCTTCTTTTTTTGGAGGGGATTCTTGATAGTTTTGAGCACTAAAACATCTTAGTGAAGTCTTTTTTGGATGATTTAATTAAAAGGGAATTTGTAAGGAATTTAAAAAGTAGATACAATATTTTTTGAACATAATATCGCTTCATCAGCTTAATTCTCCCTTATAAATTGCGATCAAACTTCCCTCAAGGGTAAATTACTTTAAAACCTAATATAGGAGAAAATTGTTATGCAAATTTGCTTTCATCTTAGTTCTTTATTCATTAATTTTGTGAAATATAGGTGAATTAATATTTACGAGATAACGATACAATTTAATTGATTCTTTTTGCGATGGTTTTCCTTAAATAATTAACATAAAATGTTCCTTTTTATTAACTATAGAATTTTTTGGAATTTAAATTGGGATTTTTCTCGATTGATTTTCAATGGAAATAAATTAGAGATTGAAAGAAAGATTTCTATGGAACTAGGTATTTGGAAGTTTTATCAACAAATTTAAAAATTTAAGTTTTAAAATCAATATGTGCTTATTTCTGGATTGACTGCAAGTACACAACTTACAATTTATAAAAACAACAAAATTTTATTTTTTCTTGCAAAATAATCTTTTAAACATTTTTTGTCTCAAAAGAAATGTCAATAAAATTGCGTAGTTCCAGTAATCATTAAAAGAGAGATTAAGAAGGTTAAAGGTTGCTCAGCTAATTATGAGTCATCAATTTGAATAAATATTTTTTTCAGACTTTATATTCGCTGTGATTTGCTTTTTAAGCATCAGTGAACATTTATTTCTCAAGCAGTGTAAATATTACAAATATTAAAGCTTATCGCTGGAAAAAAAATAAACAAAATGAAGACGTAAGAGATTAAAAAATATTAAATTTGTTAATCCATATTAAAATTAATTTATTACAGACTTTTTGTAGTCATTTTTGCCATTATCTTGATTCTGAAAGACTCAAATGCAGTTAATGTAGATTGTTCCATTCAAGATAATGTGTGGACTCCTTTTGGACATTTCAAGGAATGTCTAGCTTATAGAGTTGTTTCAAAAGAACCTGGACAGAAATTAGAAGCAATTGAATCTTACACAGATCTTGCTGAATTAAAGTCCTTTTACATTTATCAATCTCCATATTGCTTTTATTTGCCAAGTGGCATTGAAAAAATATTCCCAAATTTGAAAACCTTGATCATTGCATATAGTGGACTTATGTCAATTACTCAAGATGATTTAGCACCGTTTCCTGACCTTCTTGGACTTTACATCGATGTTACTAAAATTACATCAATTCATGGCGATTTGTTCATCAACAATAAGAATTTGGAAGAACTTTCATTGCAACAAAATCAAATCACATATGTCGAACCTGATAGCTTTAAATTTTTGACAAAATTGATATCATTTGACTTCAATGGCAATTCATGTCATAGTAAGAAAGCAAACGGTAGAGATAATGTCGAAAGTTTAATGATTGATATCGAAACAAATTGTAATGTTAAAGAGTTTGTTAAGCCCGAAATTGAAAGTTCATCTCAAGTTCAAAATATTTTGGATTTGTATGTAGATGAAGATGATTAAGAAAATCACTGGTTTTATTCTTTTTATTGTCAATATTATGTTGTTTTTTACATTCAATTGTTTTCAGGAACGAACAAAATATTTGATAAGAAATTGCAATCATCAACTCTGTATGCTGTCGTCATTCCTCTCGTCATTGGAAGAACATAAAAAAAATGATAAAGACATAGAACTTTTAAACATCGTCAGTGCGGAAACTGAATAAATGTTACTGAATTATCAGGTTTCTTAGGAAAATGATTTATTTATTTGATTCAAGCAGTTCGATCAATGGAAATCAAAGAAGAAGTTGACTTTAGATTAATGTTTTAAGATTCAGATTCGCAGGTTAAAATTCTACTTTCTTAAAGGGATAAATTGGCATTTGTTATGATGAACAGCTTAAGAACTCAATAAAGATTTTTATTCTAGACCAAGTCCAAGTGACACAGACGTTACCCACAGATATCATCAATAATTAAGTTTATTAGTAAAAGCTTAATATTATTATTGTGTACATCAACTCACCTCATTCCTGCTCAATTTCGTTAGATGAAGCACATCCCCATCATAAACCATTACTGTAATAAATGATAAACAAATAAACTCGATAAAATATTCAGGTCAATAATTCTGTCAATTTATTCAAACCCTTTTTCTTCCTTTCCACTGTTATACTTTGTCCATCTTCACGACGCCAAATAATTTTTGGTGTTGGAAAGCCATCAGCACGACATGTCATGTTAATGCTTTGATTTTCACGCACTGCCACTGATGATGGAGTGCTTTCAATATCCAAAATATTTGGAGGAACTATATTTGGAAAGTATGGCAAGTAAATAGAAAAGTAATTTGTGTATAGCAAATATTTAGTAAATTATGAAACAAATTCATCATCGTCGTCATCGGGTATTAATCAATAATGCAAGGATAAAATAAAACTTTTTTTTTTTGGAAATGAGAAAAAAATCTCATTGTTCATATTTGTTGATTCTCAAAATTACTTCCAGTGAGTCGTTGAATTTTTTGATTGATTGTGTGTCGTGAACTTTATCAAATATTCACAAAATCTAATGCAAAAAAAAGAGGAAATGAGGAAGGAACAAAAAAATTGAAAAATCACAAAAATAAATTAAAGAAAAACAAAAATTGAGGAAATTCTTTGTGAAATTGAATTTTCCTGAGGCAGGTCAAAGGATCAAGGAACAACTTTGAATGTCATTTCATTTATTGACAATGTTTCATGTTCCTGCACAATCTCCTTCATTCTCAATTTTATCATGAAAATGAAAAACTTTTTTTTCTTCAGCACACATGAACATGAACATGAGCTTATTAAACTTTTACTGATGTCCTTCTTCAGTCATTAGTTTGTGGATGTAAGACACACGTACTCATGTACACATTCGCAATATTATAGACGGAGAAGCCAATTCACATATTAAGTAGAGAAAGTTGAAAAACAGCAACAACAGTCCTGATATTAAGCACATTATGCTGTGTAACTTTACCATGAAAAAACTCAAGTGAATGAAAAGCCAAGAGGAAGTGAATTGAGAAGGAAAATTTGTGGGAAGAAAGGAAAAGTCAATGATATTAGCCATGTGCCAATCGATCTGTAATTTTGTGGTTAAGCAACTGCCATTACATGCTGCAAACTTTCTGTCATCTCCTTCCACACATGCAAGAATGTGGACCAAAAAAATAAATTTCAGTCCATTAAAAACTTAAAATCAAGGAAATTTAATTAATGAACAGAAAAGGAATGAAGAGGAAGTGGCAAAATTGATGATGATGGAAGTAAAAGTTTTTGGAATGAGAATGAAACTTACCAACAACTTGAAGGTAGCCAACCTGACTAATCATTGGATTTGTGTTCACTTGACACATGTAGTACCTGTAAATGGAATGTGTAAAAGTCTTTAATTAATTTAGAAGCTTAATTGAAGCTGTAATTTTGTCAGACATCTTTCCAATTACTCATTTTATGGATGTAGAATCTCAAAATTACACTTATTGTGTCAAAACTCACCCCCGATCCTCCTGTTGTGCTTGATTCACATGCAGCATCCATGTGTTTGAATTGTCATATGTAATTGAATATCGTGGAATTCTCGAGATGACGTGACGGTGTATTGTCAATATCATTTGTCTATCTATGTGAATCCACGCAACCTGCAAGCGGTAAATACGATGGGAATAAAATTTAATCAGTTTTCTTAGACAACAGAAAGGTTCAAGAACTTTGTTGAGTTAACTAAAACATTCAGAATAGAATAAGAAAGCATCGAGGGGGTCGGATGGATGTTACGGGACTTTTCAAATTTTTATTTTAGATTCCTGCCTCATACTTATTGACATGGATTGAACAGAAACATTTAGGCCATTTTCTGATGTCTACCTCGTACCCTTAGATGATATTGTGTCTAAATTATCATTAAGTAACATCCAGATAGACCCCATTCAAGAACTTTTTCATTTAAAGAAAATTATTTTTAGTTCCAAGGAACAAGAAAGACATGAACGACAAATGAAGAAGCAATAAAAAGAGAAAAGTCGGACCTTTTAAAAAATGAATGAACTATAAACGAATAAAGGACAAGAATCGTGTGTATGCACGTCCTTTTATCTCTGTGTGCATGCTCCAAAAGAGCAACAAAAAGGATATTTTTGTCATGTCCTGCATTTCCCCCTTATTTTTTATTCAATTTTTTTTCCAATGAAAGTTTCAACAAGAAAAGAGAACTTTTTTTTGCAGCCTTTCTTACGTCCTTTAGTTAAAGATAAGCGAAGAAGGTCGACCAATATAAATCAGAAAATTGCTTTTGTTGCTCTTTATCTTATTTTGTGGATCGAAACAAGAAAAATTGAATTTCAAATTTGTTTTTTTTTCGATTTTTACATGATTACCAGTATGTAATGTAAAGTTCTTCCACATCCCATATTCATTTCTTCTTTGTCATGGGAATTAAACTTCTTGAAGGTCTTCCTAGCTACAAAATCATTGAATTTCGATTCGACGAGTAACTTTAATGAATAAAACATGATGGAAATTGATTGTTTGAGGAAATAAGTCTTTGTTAAAGTTTTCGTATTGTTTCTATGTATTTTTGATGTTGGATTATTGAGCTGTGATTTTATTTCTAAAAGTTTTAGTTGTAATTTGTTAAAAGTTTTCGATTCAGTAAAATTCAAATGATTTATTTAAACTTTAATTTGTATAGGCATGAACTTTTAACTTTTCAAGTTATTCATTGATTTGATGACATCAATAAATTAATGACTTCATTTCAAGACATCAGAAACTAAGGAAAGTCACATAATAATATTTAGTCTGTATCTTTGAGGTTGTTTAATTTTGTTGCTTTTTGCCACAATTTTTCCATCCTTGATTTTTGTGATAAACATGAGTTCGAGACTCAAATCTATTAAAATTATTAAAAATGATTCAGATAAAAAGGTAGCGACAGCTTCTGCGTCGAGTCTGGCGTTAGCAACCAAACTTTAATATAAAAGTTTCAATCCATCAAAAAGCCAGCAATGTTAAAACCAGTCAATCCAAATATAGAATTGATAATTTCATCCTTTAGCTTTGAAATTACTTACAGAACATTTTCTTGAGAAGGATTCTCTTTAAGGACAACCTTTTTTTGGAGTAGATGTACCGCATTTTGATTAGACATTTGAGAACTTTAAACCTGACATTTTAAAGTAACATTTGATCAATTGTTTCGATTTTTGTAGGGGCATTATCATTTAGGATATGATTAACTTGAGCAATTTACTAAAACTTCTTGAAATGTCAGGTCTGTATTAAACTTGAATTTAGTGTCTACAATTACTATTAAATTTAGAAAAATTGTTGACTTTACTTTTGCCACTCTTTTAATGCGAATGATTTGAATTAAAAATTCACAGTAAAGTTAAAAGTTAAATAAAAAATCAGCAAATGAAAATGATACTTATTATCCTCTTCTCTTCAAAACACAACCACAGCCATTAATATTTCACTCAAATATATTTTTTTATTATTTTTATCCCAAAATATTTTTGTTTCTACCTATCTGCTGTATTTTTCTGTGGTTAAGTAATGAAACAACAACAAAAGCACACAAAATTGAAAATAATGTTTTGTTACATTTTACATTTATGAAATGGCTTAGTTTATCTACATAGAATGTACCGGAAAAAAGTTTTGGAATTTAGTTTTCTATTTTGTGATAGTTTTTTTGGAAAGGAAATAAAAATAAGTTTTTTGGGTCAAATAGGTACCCATAAAAATATGATTTTGTTGAGCTTGAATTTTTGCATTGAACAAAATTTTAAAGGAAATTACAATCTGTGATTGCTAGTCAGAATTTCATTAACTTCAAGTCAGAGATTTGAAAATTCTAATTTTTATTCGCGATAATTAATAACTTTAAGATTCAAAGATTTTACGAAAATTCTAAATTTACGTAAAATCGACATAAAAATTTAAAAACCTTTTCTTAAGAAAAATTTACCCGATTTCCTTACTGTCAGTAAAACATCGCTGCTAATTAATTTATTTTCTTCTTCAACAAATCAAATTGAATAAAGAAGCTGCTTTGTAAATTCCAAAGAAACGTTGAAAGTGACTTTAAAGGAAATATTTGAAAATATAATCGAGATGAATGCCTTTAAAATTATATAAAATTTTATTACATTGGTGGGTTAGAGGCTGTTCATAAATGCTGTCTATCAAAAAAATGAGAGTTTTAAATCTCTCATCCCAAAAGTTTTCTAAAGATTAATTGAATCTAATGACAAACTCTGAATCAAAAGTCACTTGACATTAATTCCCAAAAATATATTCAAAGATTAAATCTTGTTTGAAAATCCTCAATTTTCCTTCAACTCAACAATTTTTCACAGTCGAAAATAAAATGATTAATTACCTTATAAGTCCCTAAGTGCTCCACTACGCACGGTAAATTTGCATCTCTTCCAACTGTTTAAAAAAATGCAAATATGAAATTTATTATACGAGAAAATATAAAAATATCATAATTGAATGTGAATTAAATGTAAACTCATTGTTGTTCCTTACCTGCAACTGTCACGTTTGGAATGGGTTGAGCAAATCTCGGTTCATCCATCATAACTGATTATCATAACATAAATTCACAATGGAGATAGAATGAGAGTGAAACAAGTAAAATTTATGATTACAATTTGAGTTAAATATGTTGTGTATGAAAAATGTTTATTTATTGTGCTGCTCTGGTATAATGGCAAGGGTGTTTGTAGCTAGGACGGTTTTGAACCTCTGGAGATTTAAATTTAAATTGAGAAAATCTTGAATTTTCAGAAAAAAAAATATCAAGAACCCCTAATATAAGTAGAACCCCCTCAACTTCCTTAAAACAACATCTTGCTACGGCTCTGATGGCAAGTAACCCCAAAGTGGAATGAGAAAATTTTCGTTAATTAAAACCCGTACAACAAATGTTGTTTAATTAATGTGTATCACCTTGTGTAGGTGAAAATAGCAATAATTGTTTCATATATTTGTATCCTCATAACTGGTGAGACATTGTCGTTGCCTTTGTCATGTCAACCGCAAATTTCGTCATTTAAGAAACTTGAGAGAATCTCTCCCTTTTGAGAAAATAAAATCCATTGAAATTTAAACCGCAATACCCACAAAATTTCGGTCCCACTCGAAGTCAGACTTTAAATTAGATTAAATTCACGATAATTATTGCAAGGATTTAAATTTAAACATTTTTTTGAGCTTTATCTGTTTTATGTGCTGCAATAAAGAAATTATTCATGGATGCTTGTTGGTACTTTTGCTATTATTATTATTTGTCTGTGGTTTAAAGCTTGGGAAAGGGCTCGCTTATGAAATAAATGTTATGGGTTGGCTTTTATGGAATATATAATAATTTTATTAGCATCTTTTGAAGAGGGATAAAGGGACAGAGTGGATGTACAGACTTTGTGGCAAATTAAATTAATTTGTTAAATTAATTATGTACTTAAAAGCACCTGAGTATGGTGTCTTTATTATGCTGTAATTAAAAGCAAATATATTATTGACAATTAAATTAAGCATAAACACCTGAGAGTTCAGAATTGCTTCTGTAAATATTTTTTTGAATATTTTACTACTTGTCGGAATTTGTTGTGAATTTTTAAAACATTTTGCAACTGCTGAGTCATTTTTGCAGGTGTTTAAAGCAGGGGAAATTGTTATGTCAAGTGGTTTTAAGTTTTTTTTAAAGAATTTTTTATGGTAGCGTACACATGGTGGTTGTCAGGCGCGTAGCCAGGAGGGTCTTGTCCTCCTCTTAAGCGTTTTAGGTCGTGCTCTCGCTCCGGTTCTTAACTATTAATGGGGGGGGGGGAAGAATAGGATAGATGGTTTAAAAAAACTTAAAGAGAGTGCAGCAAGGGAGCGAGGTAGCCAGACATCACCAAATTTCAGAGTTATTCCCCTATTTTCTATCTATGGTACCCATGACCCACCAGGTACCCTTAAATAGAGATGAAGTCTAGGAAAATGTCTGAATGCATCTCTTGCAACTTCACATAAACCCTCCCCTAGATCCCCCAATTTCAAATAAATTACATTCTCATCTTTATTGGGTCAATGACGTCTTCTTACATTAATTGTATGAAAATGGTTCTATGCACCTGATCCCCCTCCCTTCCATCCCAAAACAAATTTACAGTGCAATTTCCATTCTTTATTTATATTCATCATCCAAAGCGAATAAAAACAGCAACAAGAGCATTTGAATTGTTTATGAGTGACTGAAAATAAAGAATACAAGAGATATGAAAAATGACAAGAATGTTTCATGATGTTGAGCATGAATTTATGAGATAACATAGAGAATGCATCAACATTACAATAATTCATAAACATTTACATCCTCGAAAATTTGAACTGAATGTGTAGAATACAGTCATATGAGGATATATCATTTCCAAAAAATCAATAATCAACAAAACATTGATTTCAGTTTCAATCCTTAATAAAATAATAATATTGAACTTCATTGGGTCAAATATCTCTGTACATAAATTTAATTTTGCTATTCTGTATGTGGTTTACAGTTTTATGTACCGAAAAAGCAGAATGAGGTGACTACGAGTGCTGTTTAGATAATTGAAAGTGCACATAAGTTTTTTACTCAATTGATTGTGATTAATTACTGCTGGGCAAACTTCAGGGTGGTTTTTGAGTGCAAACATAAAATTTTGTGGTTTTCAATTAAATTCTCTAGTTTTGAAGCTGTAAATTTATATCTTCTATGAATCGACTTTTGGTACTATGAAGATTTTTGTTTAATTTAAATAAATTTCCTTTGATAATTGATTTGAAAGGATTGGAAAGTATTTTGTGTGTGGGTTGATGTAACTTGATATAATCAGTTGATTTTGGTAATTTCTTTGAAATGTAAATTGGAACTTTATTAATATAGTTTTGTTGGATTTAATGAGTAAGGCTTGAAAATAAGAATACATTTAATGAGTTTCTAGGGGTTATCTTGAATTATTTTTGATAGTTTAAACCAAAAGCTGAAGCTGACAAAGACTTTATATTGACTATTTAATTAAAGTTATTTCAACTGAAAACAAAACCTTAAGCGGCTACGCATTTTACATTAAATCAAAGTTTTTGAAATTGTTTTCATTGGCGACACATACGTAAGTCAAAAAGCATGCATAAACCTAGAGTAGCTCAATAGATTCAGTCTGAAGCCATTTTCCACTGACTTCTTGCAGAATTCTTTGGATCCAAAAACATTTCAAACCAATGCTAAGAGTCATTTTAAATAAGATTTATAGCAGTAAAGTGCCTTGCTGGTCGAATAGGTAAGGCGCTTGGCTCAAATTGGGTATGGTAACTCGAAGGTCGTCGGTTCGAATCCAGCCATTTCCAAATTTGTTCTTTTTCAGAAGTTTAGATACTTCAACTGCTTAATGTACGAGTCAAGCCATAATTGGGCATTTTGGGAAACGTTGGATTAAGAAACGGATCAGGAACTTAAAGTGTAGCGGGAGAAACAGGAACGAGAGCTACAAGATTACCTTATAATGGAATATTGTCAGAACGGACCTGAAATGTATCACGTCACGCCCACAGAAGATTGAAACGAGAGCCTTAGTTTATTTGAAACCTAGATTTGAACATTAGAAGCTTGATTCTACGTCACTCATAGTGATATGAAATGTATCACTAATCAATGTAAAAAGTAAAAAAAGATTTTAATAATTTTCTTACAACTATTTTTAAAACTAGCCTTAAAATCTTATTAATTCAAATTTTAAAGAAAAATAAGCATCCAGCTATCAAAAATATTTAAACAAACATCCTAAATCTACAGAAAATTCCATCAATCACTGAAAAACTTAAATGGATTTTCACCTTACTTCACAACTCTTACTCTTCCACTCATCACTATTCACCAACTGTCACCAAAAAAAAAGAAACTTTTTTTTATTCCACATCGCACCATGAAAAGAGAGAAAATTTCCCTGTGTACCTCAACTTTAATAGAACAATCCGATTAATTAAGTTTCAAGAGTTTTTTGTTTTTCCATTTCTCGTTCCGTCGGAGCCAACAAAAAGTTTTCAATTCAAATTGTCGCCTCGTTTTTACTTTCACGGGCAGATGAATGAGGAACGAGGAAAATGAAGTGAGATGGAAATGCTCTGGATTTGCCCTAAATAGTACCACGATAATACCTATCGAAAATATTGTAAGTGTCGAATGAAGGAAAAGTTTTAGACATCCGGTGCTCGATTTCATCGGAACATTTTTTTTGTCGATTCCATTCACGTTCATTTGATTTTTTTTTTTTGTTGGCGTTCCTTGAATTGTTACAGTCAGTCGAAACTAAAGACACAAACACACACATGCTCATAAAGTACAAATATTTTTTTTATGATAGCAAAGGATTGATAAAACTTGCAGATGCTTCAAACAATTTTCATGTGCGGCAATCGTAAAAAGATATTCTGGTGTCATAAAAGTATCATGTGTGGCAGCATGCATAATGTATTGTATGTAAAGAGAGAAAGTGTACGTTTTGTTCTACATTTTTGCCTTTTATTCATTCCATCCCGTTCCTTAAATATTTTTTTGTGCAATGGGAGGCAATAAAAGATTTATGAAATGCATAATCATGATAAACATATGTCGATGAAATAAGATATTGATTCGAGGATGGAGATTAAAATTTCGGTGGCATGAAAGATTTTTAAATGACGATGAATAAAAGTTTTTTTGCGATTTCCTCAGACATAATGTTGTGAAGTAGTTTCGGGATATATAAAATCTTCATTATATCGTGTGCTTGAGTTTATAGTCGATCATCTTGAATTTATCATTTCAGTGTGGTTCAGGTGTGTGGAATTTACAGGGTTGTGGACGAAAATTGACAAAAAAGAACTAAATTCCAAGTCTTAATTCAAATCATCCCCAAAAACCTATTTATTGATAAGGTCAAGCAGCTGACTGAAAGCTTAAAGCAACTTCTCTTACAAGAAGCAAGTTCAATTCTAATTTCGGTTCCTACACTTGCCACACAACTGCCAATAATAAGAAACACCATCACCAGCTATCAAACAACACAGGTAGAATTCTATTCTTTTATTTATATCCAATTTTACTGTCAATTAGATTCAAGAGTCATTTCAATAGTTCCCAAAAAATCCAGCATCACACCCTAAAATATATTTCATCATTACTACTTCACATGCCCGATCCCAAATATCTATCAAACCCCAAACACAAGATTCTCTGAAATTTTAGCCAACGTTTGCAAATTCAACCCCCCACAATTCAGTGACCATTCCATTTGCTTGCTTTATTATCCTTTCATTCTGATATATTGATCAATATCTGGAACCAAATATATTACAACACACATCGAGCAGATGCTAAAGATGGTACGAAAATAAAGGAGATTGATGTCGTAATAGTGAGAAATAAAATTCATATAAAGGCAACAGAAGAAATGAAACAATTTAAAGGATTTGTATGCGGAATTGCAATGAGGAAAAAAGGAAGCATCTCAATTTTTTTTTTTTTTCGGGTGGTTCATTTTCGTAAATAAATGAAAATTGGATTTTCGTGACTAT